CTATATTGTTTTTATTGCTTATTATTAAGAGGAGAGAAAACCTGGAGCAACGAAGGTATGTCAAATATGAAAAATTTCGAACGAAAAGCAAACAAACATGCTATTTCTGAAAGGCATCTCGTTTGTCAGGAACAATTTAAGTTACTTGGTAAAAATATAATTGATCATGCGCTATCAGAAGGGCGACGCTTGCAAGCCATAAAATATAATGAACAAGTTGGCATTAACCGTCGCATATTAGCTCGATTAATCCATGTTGTGTGTTATTTGGGGAAACAAGAGTTAGSTTTCCGGGGACACGATGAACAAAAAAGMTCATTAAGTAAGGGTAATTATTTAGAGCTATTAGAACTCTTATCGCAAGAAGAACAAATACTCAAAGAACATTTTTTGTCCAACTCTTTATTTAAAGGAACGTCTAGTGATGTGCAAAATGATTTAATTGCTTGTATTACAGATGTTGTAAATACTAAAATAATGAACGATTTGAAAAATGCAAAGTTTGTGTCTATACAAGCCGATGAAACCACTGATGTGTCATGCAAATCACAAATGAGTATTATTTTTAGATACGTTGTTGACAACAACGTTGAAGAGAGATTTATTGGTTTTTTTGACRTATCAAAARATAAAAGTGCTGTTGGGCTCTCAAATATTTTATTGGCAGAAATAACCAAATGGAATATAAACGATAAGATTATCTGTCAGACTTATGATGGTGCARCCGTCATGGCTGGAAAACAAAATGGAGTCCAAGCCATTATTAAAAAAACCTATCCAAAAGCCCTATTTATTYACTGCTATGCCCATCAACTGAACCTAATTTTTTTACATGGGTCAAAAAATATTAAGTCCGTTCGTATTTTTATAAGTGACCTTACAATGTTTCACACATTTTTCAGTAAATCACCAAAACGAACTGAACTGCTTCGGGACAAAGGTTTTAAGTTGCCAAAAAGTTGCGAAACAAGGTGGAATTACCATTCAAGAGCAGCAGCTACTATAAGTGCACATTTTAAAGAACTACAAAAAGCGATATCGTATGTAACTGAGGGGGAAGACTGGGATCCGATTTCTATAAGTACAGCTTATGGGTTATTGCATAAATTATCAAATCCAA